GTGTGTGTGTGTGTGTGTGTGTGTGTGTGTGTGTGTGTATGTGTGTGTGTTTGCCCCAAGATTTGCAGCATATATATTTAACTTACTATAGGTTACTGTCAAATATTATACTACTAATTTTGCAGTATATATATTTAACTTAGTATAGACTATCTTCAAATATTATGCTCCTCACTTTAAGTGTAAGAGCCTTACAATAATATACTTTTCTTTCTCCCTGCCCTGCCATGCCTTTTATTTTTCTGGTCAAACATATGTTATAAACTCTGCAAAACATCATTACTTTTGCTGTAAGCAGTCCATTACCTTTTAAAAAGGTTTATATAATTTTTTAAAAGTCTTTTATATGTGTCAGCCTATTTACCATTTCCAGTGCTATTTATTCTTTCATGTAGATCCACATTTCTTCTTGATACGATTTTCCTTCTGCCTGAAGGGCTTCCTTTAACTTTTCTTATAATGCTAGTTGCTGGTGACGAATTCTGGAAAAGCCTTTATTTCAGATTCATTTTCAAGTGAAGAATACAATCTTAGGTGAATAGGGATTTTTTTGTTTTTTTCTTTGCTGTTTTTCATTCTTTTCAGTAATTTAAAGATGGCCCTCCATTGTCTTTCAGTTTGCATTGTTTCTGATGAGAAATCTACTGTTATTTTTGTCTTTGTTTCTATATGGAATCGATCTTTTTTTACTTTGTCTGCTTTGCTACATTTGAGATTTCTCATTACCACTAATTGACAATTAGAAGGGCTACGTAGAAAAACCAAAATAAACTACAGACAGTTTTTTAGAATTAATAGAATTTGGCACATTTTTAGATACAAGATCAATATATCAAAACCAATTTTATTTCTAGATAGGAGCATAAGTCTTTCATATATATATATATATATATATATATATAGAGAGAGAGAGAGAGAGAGAGAGAGAGAGAACAGATAAGTTGTACCTAAAAATGTAATAAAATATGTGCATGAACTTTATGTAGAAAATTATAAAACTTACATAAATTAAAAACAAAACATTAAAGAAAACCTAAATAAATGGATAGACATGCCATCTTCATGTTAGGAAGACTTAATACAGATTAATTCTCACCGAGATTATAATTTTAATTCAAATAATCTTAGTCTTGACATTTTTTTTCCTCAGAGTCTAAGATTACACATATTAAAGAAGAGAAAAATACAAAAGACAGTTAAGACAACTTTGAGAAAGAAAAACAGGGTGAGGGATTTGTCTTATATTTAAAATTATTTTTAAATTATAGCAATTACAGCAATAATTAAAATTTTTGTAGCAATTTTCATGGTGTAGGGCAAATAGGCTAATTGAAGAGTAGAGAGGCCCCAAACAGTCTCTAAAGAATATGATGTATGACGAATACTACATTATTGAGTGTAGTGGGGAATGGATGGATTATTCAGTACGTAAAGAGTTCTAGGAGTACCTGGGGGTTTATATGGACGGGGTGTGTGTGAGGATGAATTTAGTCTTGTTTCACACCATTCACAATCATTTTCAGGTAGATTAAAGACATAAATGTGAAAAGAGAAATGAAAGTGAGGTCTGTAAACAGTAATATCAACACCACTTATAAGCTAAATCTGGATTTTAAAATTTTTCAGGTTATTATAGGAATATTAAACTTGGAGAAACACTGGTAAAGGAGATTTATCCATATAAAGGAGATTTATATAAATAAATCTCCTTTACCAGTGTTTTATTTATATTTAATTTATATGGATAAATCTCCTTTATTTGACAGTAGTCTATAGTAAGTTAAATATGTATACTGTAAATCTTGAAGCAAACACACACACACACACACACACACACACACACACACACACACACACGCACCCCATTGGGGTGGAGAAATAGGTTTTTTGTTTGTTTGTTTTTGAGACAGAGTCTTGCTCTGTCGCCCAGACTGGAATCCAGTGGCTGATCTCAGAGCACTGCAACCTCCGCCTCCTGAGTTCAAGCGATTCTCCTGCCTCAGCCTCCCGAGTCACTGGGGTTACAGATGCCTGCCACCATGCCTGACCAGTTTTTATATTTTTAAATGGAGACTGGGTTTCACCATGTTGGTCAGGCTGGTCTGGAACTCCTGATCTCAGGTCATCCACCTGCCTCAGCCTCCCAAAGTCCTGGGATTACAGGCGTGAGCTGCCATGCCCAGCCCGAAATTGTTTTTACAAAACACAAAATGCAGAAACCATAAGAGAAAAAATGAAATTGATATTAAAATTAAATATTTCAACTACTGGCTAAAAGTGGCCATTTTCCAGAAGTGTTCCCACATAGGTGACAGAAAGCTTGACTTAAACTGGCTTAAGCATGAAAGGGGATTGATTGGCTCATTAATCTAATGACCAAGTGGAACCATAGACATGGCAGAACCCAACAATTCCACCAAGAAGTAGGAGAAGGAGAAAACAGTAAGCTGTGGCAATGCAGCCATTCCAACCCCAAAGGACTGACTGGCTGGACAAGGATAAGGATAATTCTGTTTTGAGTAGATGACGATTACCTAGAATGCTGGCAATGGTCCAGAAGATAACCCAATATAGATAAGGAACCTACTTTGCTGGGTTTTCTAAGAAATATATATATATATATATATATATATATATATTCATTTCCACAGTAACCATCAGAAGAGACTGTAATTGATACAGTGATTTGTACCTGAATGAAAGCTGCGACATAGAAACCCAGGAGGAAACCAGTATCTCAAACAGTACAATTATATGACAGTGTTTGAAATGCTGGAGGAAGCTTCATTCAAAGCCAGGCCTACCTATGGACTTTTCAGTTGCATGAGGCATTGTTATTAGAGCCTTATGGTGTATCCAGAAAATTGTCTGTAATTTTTAGCAGCAACTCGAACTTCTTTCTTTGATTTTTTTTTCATGGCAAATAATTTCTCAATATAATTTTTAACAACAGTCCTTTGGCATATATAAAAGATATTGCTATTTTACAACTCAGGCTAATTAAATTCTACATAGAAGCTATCAATTATGCTTAATTTTTGAAGCCTAAATCATTCTTTAACAATACAAATTAAAATAGGTTTCTATCTAAAGTTACATATCAAAACTTATGATAGATAAACCATTAGCATTTAAGATTAGTGTATACAAGAATAATGGCAATTACACTTTTCCTTTTTTTTTTTTTTTTTTTTTTTTTGAGACAGAGTCTCTGTCTCTCACCCAGGCAGGAGTGCAGTGGCACAATTATAGCTCATTGCAATCTAGAATTCCTTGGCTCAAGCATTCCTCCCACAGCAGCCATGTGCGTAGCCAGAACTACAGGTGTGTGCCACTGTGCCTGGATTTTTTTTTAATTGGTATTTTTTAAGAGATGGGGTCTTACTATGTTGCCCAGGCTAGTCTCAGACTCCTGGCCTTAAGCAGTCTTCCTGCCTCAGCCTCCCAAAGTGTTTAGATAATAGGCGTGAGCCACTATGCCTGGCCCCATGCTTTTCCATTTTATTAGGAAGGTGATTCAGGATGAATAGGAAAATATCACGGGAAAGTCCTTTGCTCAAACACAGACACACACACACACAGAGACACACACAAAAAAACATTTTAATAAGAGTAAGAATTTTTGGAAAAGTTGTTAGCCCATTCCCTCTTAGTACAGTTTTAGTTGATTTTACATTGTAAATGCTAAAGGAAACATTTTAAAAATTGTTTTGATATGTCTTCAAAGTTATAAAAGTTATAAAGTTGTCAATGTTGAAATATATTTGGTAGTTTAGCATTATCTTGCTTCCAGGATAATGTTCTCACACTTTATAGCTTTAAAAATGTACTTTACTCATGAGAACTAAACATGTTATGCTTTGAGAAACTAAAGTGGAAAAGTTTAAAAGGTACTTCGTAACTTTTCTTGAGGCGGGAATTGAAAAAGGATAAGACTGTTTGGATTATGTTGTTCTCTAATTTAGTAAAAAAATATATTAATGAATGTATGTTAACCTTCAGGTTATCATCATTCTTTCTCAAGATAGTTTTATGGTAAAAATAGACTACTGAGCTGTCTTGTTAAATTTTTAAAGATGAGTTTGGATGAGTTGCAAATAACATCCTCTACCCTTAGGTCAAAAAGAATATGTAAACCAAAATTTTTTAGATAGAAATACTTATTATAGTTTTGACTGTCACACTTCTTGCTAAAATGATTGTATAAGAATATACTCTTTTTAAAGTTTTATTCTGAATATGTTCTGAATTTGTAACACATGTTCCTTTTTAACATGTTCAGAGTAACACATATTCATTTTATTGTCATTAAAATTTTCTTTTAAAGTCAAAGATAAAGTTGTACTCAGAAATAAACTTTGTTAATATTTTGACATATCTGACATATCTTATTTTCTAATTTTTTCTCTCTATACGTATATGTAGATTTTGTGGTTATTACTAATGAAGATTGGCCAGGCGATGGTGGCTCACGCCTGTAATCCCGGCACTTTGGGAGGCTGAAGCAGGTGGATCACCTGAGGTCCGGAGTTCGAGACCAGCCTGGCCAACATGGCAAAACCCTGGCTCTACTAAAAATACAAAACAGACCAAGACTTCATCTCAAAAAAAAAAAAAAAATGAAGATTATGTTGTACATGTAATCTTTATCCTTTTCTTGGAAATCATGAATCTTTTTTATGTCATTAAATATATTTTCAAATGCAAAATATAGATTTTAATAACTACAAAATATTCTTTCTTAGTTCAACAAACATTTAATCTTCAATGTGCCAGGCATAACACCATAATCGTTTTTTATTATAATGTGTTTTTTAAATTAAAAGAAACATTTCAAAATATTTTCTTAATATACTTCTCTCCAGGGATTATTCCAAGCATGCACATGGAAGCCTGTTTCTCTATGGAGGGAGCTAGAGGCAACTCATAATCTAATAGTCAGGGGTTCTTGGAATTCATTCCCAACCTCTTCATTAATTACTAAAAATATTTACCATAACCTTTTAAATCATTATTCTATTGTATATTTTGCTGGTTTATAAAGTTCCTTAATATAAAAAGTACCATGGTAAACATATCTACATGTAAATATTTGATAATATGTATTATTATTTTCTTTAGGATGTGCTTTCAGAGTATGCAGTGGTTAAGGCACTTGATATCATTGATGGCTTTATATCCATAAAAGGTATACTTTTCTGCAGGAATTGTTTAAGTGTATGCTCATCACAATGGAGTATTTCCGTTTTTAATTAGTACATACATTATGTTATCATTATATTTATTACCAATTTTTTAATTAAAGTAAGACAATTGCATAGATTTCTTATTGCCATCACTCCTCACCAATGAGGAAAAAATAAAACTCTGAACACTTAGCAGTTTGTTCTGGTGTCTAACAACATATTTCTTAAATTTTTTTTTTTTTTTTTGAGAGGGAGTCTTGCCCTGTACCCAGGCTGGAGTGCAGTGGCAGGATCTCAGCTCACTGCAGCCTCCACCTCCCGGGTTCAAACAATTCTCCTGCCTTAGCCTCCTGAGTAGCTGGGACTACAGGTGTGCGCCACCACGCCCAGCTAATTTTTGTTTTTTGTTTTTCAGTAGAGACGGGGTTTCACCATGTTGGCCAGGATGGTCTTGATCTCTTGACCTTGAGATCTGCCCACCTTGCGATCTGCCTGCCTCAGCCTCCCAAAGTGCTGGGATTACAGGCGTGAGCCACTGGGCCCGGTCTCTAATAACATATTTCTACATAATGTGATTTTCAGGCATTATTTTCAGACTACCCATTATGGAAGAGGAGGAAATATTAATAGCACTCTGACGCTGCCCTAACTCCTATCTACCCAATCTGCCAATATGCTTATATCATATTTTAATGTATAATTTTGTGTTTCCTTTCTAGAATTTCCCTACATAGAGTACTCCATCCTCTTGTTCCAGTCTCAGCTGGCTGCTCCATGGGCTACTTCATAGCTTTCATCACAGAGCTTTGCTTGGCCTCTCTCCTGTGTGTATCTCTGTTTCTTGGATTCTGTGCTTTCATTTTCCCGCTGTACTCTGATATTTCAGTGAAGTTTATCCACGAAGTCCAGAATTCTGCCTGGAAACCAGCTTCCTCCTCAGCTCCAGCTCTTTTAATGGGTACATCCAAACCGATGACTTCTCCTTCCTGCTGCATAGGTAACACTTACTTGTTGGTCTAATTTCCATTTTCCAGAAATTTCTCAAAATGTCTGCTGATAGCCCTGTACTCATATTTTTCATGTGGGTTCATAGCTTTCATATTTCTTTATTATTGTAAATGGGGGCTGTGGAAGGTGAGGAAACACATCCTTTCTTAAAACAGAAGCTCTCTTTCATTAACTAAAATATTTTTATCGACTCTAGAAAATGCAGAAAGTTAGTACAAGATCATTAGACAGAAAGTCAAAGATTACAGAAGTGCTGAAGTAGATCATTCTTTTTTTTTTTTTTCCCATTTATTTTATTGCATTTTAGGTTTTGGGGTACATGTGAAGAACATGCAAAATTGTTGCATAGGAACACACGTGGCAGTGTGATTTGCTGCCTTCCTCCCCATCAGCTACATCTGGCATTTCTCCCCTTGCTATTTCTCCCCAGCTTCCCACCCCCCACCGTCCCTCCCCTATTTCCCCCCAACTGACCCCAGTGTGTAGTGCTCCCCTCCCTGTGGCCATGTGTTCTCATTGTTCAACACCCGCCTATGAGTGAGAACATGCGGTGTTTGATCTTCTGCTCTTCTGTCAGTTTGCTGAGAATGATGGTTTCCAGGTTCATCCATGTCCCTACAAAGGACCCAAACTCATCGTTTTTGATGGCTGCATAATATTCCATGGTGTATATGTGCCACATTTTCCCTATCCAGTCTATCGTCGATGGGCATTTGGGTTGGTTCCAGGTCTTTGCTATTGTAAACAGTGCTGCAATGAACATCCGTGTACATGTGTCCTTATAGTAGAATGATTTGTAATCCTTTGGATATATACCCAGTAATGGGATTGCTGGGTCAAATGGAATTTCTATTTCTAGGTCCTTGAGGAATCGCCACACTGTCTTCCACAATGGTTGAACTAATTTACACTCCCACCAACAGTACAAAAGTGTTCCTATTTCTCCACATCCTCTCCAGCATCTGTTGTCTCCAGATTTTTTAATGATCGCCATTCTAACCGGCGTGAGATGGTATCTCAGTGTAGTTTTGATTTGCATTTCTCTGATGACCAGTGATGATGAGCATTTTTTCATGTGTTTGTTGGCCTCACGTATGTCTTCTTTTGAGAAGTGTCTGTTCATATCCTTTGCCCACTTTTGAATGGGCTTGTTAGTTTTTTTCTTGTAAATCTGCTTTAGTTCTTTGTAAATTTTGGATATCAGCCCTTTGTCAGATGGGTAAACTGCGAAAATTTTTTCCCAATCTGTTGGTTGCCAATTCACTCTAATGATTGTTTCTTTTGCTGTGCAGAAGCTGTGGAGTTTGATTAGGTCCCATTTGTCTATTTTGGCTTTTGTTGTCAATGCTTTTGGCGTTTTGGTCATGAAGTCCTTGCCTACACCTACGTCCTGAATGGTTTTGCCTAGATTTTCTTCTAGGGTTTTTATGGTGTTAGGTCTTTCTTACTTTCTTTGCAATGTCCATTACATCCACACATAGGTAAACTGTTACAAAGCCAGAATGGTGAAAGAGTAAAACAATGGCTGAGGGAAGTGGAGGTTAAGATATAGCTCAACAGTGAAAGTGGCAGGGAAAAAGCTGGGCAAAGCAAAGATCATCTTTTGTACAGTTGATACAGTAGGCTAAAGGTGCAGTGTTCTGTATTAGCTAGAGCAAAATGAAGGAAATAAATTAAGTCCCTTATACCTAAGACCTCTATTTTTCTGTTGATTACATATGCGGTGGCAATGGAAAGAAGGGAAAGTAATGGTGATAGCATTTGCTGATTCTCTGATCATGCAACACTGGCAGCATTCTAGACTCATTCTATTAATTACATTAACCACATCTTATAAAACACGTTTCCAAAGGCCGTATGTAAGAGGCCTTGGCTTCATTTGTTGCATTTATTAGCTCCTTAAGTTGACAATATATAATTGTTTTCATATAATTTTCATCAAATAAAATTCATTTTAATTTGTATGAACATATTTAAAGTGGAAAATATCTTCTCAAATGGTCCGTATCTCAGGCAGCGGATATTTTATGGGCTTCGCATCTGAACAGCCAGAGATCTCAGGCATAGCATGCATTAATCACAACCACTTACTGACCTGGTTCAGATGCTTACTCAGTACATGGGACTAGACTCAGAGTGTGCCTTAGGCTAAAGAAAAAATTATTCAAGTTGAGCATATCCATAAACTCTTGCTCAAGCTATGTATTTGGGGGGATAAACACAAGTTTATTCCTAGTTGAAAAGATACGATGCTTAGGACTGAACCTGTTGCCTTTCTGGAATTAAGAGCTAGAAAACATAGAGACATTTCTTTCTAACTGACACAGTTTCTAATAGAAACAATCCACCAGGATATTGAGCCCACATTTTAAGAGTTCTTTGGAATTTACTGAAAATGGAAAACTGATTACATTGGGCACATAGGACATTTATATTTATAGATACATTTTAGATAAGACAAGAATTTTAAAAGCCAGAAATCACTTTTACTGGGCATTTTCAGAAAAATGTTGTCAACTTTTTATAATTTTTAATAGGCAAGAAAAGGATTGTTATATTGATATTGACAGAAATTAGGTGGTTAATTAGAGAGTCTAGCATAAAAGGATGGATTGCTCTAACAGTGGTTTAGAATTTTTCTTTATATGATTCAATTTTGTGGTCTGGCAAAGGCCCAATAGTCATTTATCTGGTATGCATACCTTTCCACAGCTGGATTTTCAAATATGATTATAAAGTTCGTATGACAGAACTATTCTGAAAATAAATATGTCAGCAGGCTTTGCTTTATTTTATGTATTTATTCTGGATATAACATAACTTGATACAAACACAGACTACAATTTAAGACATTTTGCCAGAGCTCTTCAAGTATAGCATCGTTTGAGATTGTGGAAGGTGATTTAGAAACACCTGGGTTGAATATTTATATCCCAGTCTTAAATCCTAAAAGCCTTCAGTTTTATAGTACTTTCGGGGAAAGACAGGAACTACATTAATACTTGTTAGTGTAAAAGTTAATGCATTGCTGGAAAAGCCTTGGAAAAAATTAGAAAATTAATGCAAAAAATGAAGGGAAAATTTAAAAAGGTAGTATTTGATCAGCATTTGTAGGTTTAGGGATGTATTTTTTAGAATATATTTTTAGGAATATATCTTTCATATTTTAGTGTTTGGGAGGATGATGAGAAGATTCATTAGAATAAAATTCTAAGTCTTGTATGTAAATGAGAATTTTTGTTTGTAGTAGTATTTTATGGAGTGTGGCTAAGAGTCCCATCTAATGGTGAAACAAAAATGAACAGAATATTCTCCTCAAGCTCTATGTGGTCCTCCTGGTACCTCTGTCTTTTTAATGACACTGTTCTCATGCTCTCCTTCCTCCCTTCCTTAATCTGCTTGGTCCAACTTGATGCCACACAAGACAAAAAGCGTATTTGATAGAAGAATATAAGCTGATATTAGTAGGGAGCAGAACCATAAGGTCTCCTCTCTTCTTGAGTAATATGTTTACATTTAACAGCAGTCATCTAGAGGAGCACCTCCAGCTTTCCTGTCAGAAAGAGTGATTTTCGGATAGTGTGGTAGAAGAGCAAGCAGCACTGTAGCTCATGATGTAAATATTTTCTCAGAGTGGAAATTTTATAGCCTACCATATAACATGTTAGCTACATAACCTGTCATACACTTGAAAAAGTCCTTTCATGAGATAATCTTTACCAATTATAAATAATAATAGTCATTGCTAATATGTTTGAGTACTTTACTTACTCTGGCCAGGCACAAAGTGGTTTACATATATTAACTCACTTGAATCTCCCAATAATTGTATTAGGTAGGTCCTTTAGTTATCTCACTTTATGGATGAGATATCTGTCAATTCTCTTTTGTGATTAATGCACTACCTCCAAAATTAGTGGCTTAAAATAGCAACCCATCATTTAATTCAAGATTCTGTGGAATGATGGCTTGGGTGGGGCTTAGTTGGCTAGTTCTTGTTCTGAGCCAAAATAGGTGATCTTGGCTGAGCTCTATGAACCTGTGATCAGCTAGTGAGCCGGTTGGGGCCTGACTGATCTGTAAAGACCTTAGCTAGATCTTACTCCAACAGGACTTATCCCCGCACAGTTTCTCATTCTCTAGCCTTCCAGCCCTGGCTTGTTCATGTGGTAGTCTCACAATTCCAAAAGCTCTCAAATGAAACTGCAAGGCCTCTTAGGCCCGGCTATGACACTAGCATAACCTCATTTTTGGTGCATTGTATTGGTCAAAGCAAGTAATGACTCCTACCAGGTTCAAAGTAGGGGGAAAAAGACTCCACTTTTCGAGAGGGGTATCATTGTGGGTTTTTTTACATTTGCTTCTGAATCTAAGACATGTGTCATGACTTGCCAAAGATCACAGTTAGTAAATAAAGGAATTGAATTAAAATCCATGCAGCTTGAGGCCATTACACTGCATAATTCAGCATTGTGTTTCAAATGTCAATGCTAACCCTTGACCTCTTCCTCCTGTTGATGCTAGGGTACCATACCAATTTCTAATTATAAATTCTTTTTAAAATGGTACTAGTAGCTTTGAATGTGCAAACTAAAAATTGTTAAATAATCTCTGCAAAATCTAATGGGTCTAGACCAGTATGTTATAGACTCTCCATGAGTCTCAAGAGTTCATCAAGTCTCTTGGACAAGGAAGGGTGTCAGATCTGAGACTCCAGTTAATGACTTACTAACTCACAATGGGCGTTTCATCTCTTCAGAATGGTCTCTGGGACTGGAAGCTAAATATGGAGATTGTGAGTGGCTTTTGGGAAAGGCAATGGAAACCAAATAAACAAAATGAGTTACCAAATACCCTTTCGTACATTCAATTCCCTTCCCATCGTATTGATCGACCCTGAGTCTGTTTAGTCCAGGTGCAGTTTTATTTACTGGCATCAATGGCTCTGGAATCATCAGGATTGCCTCATGGTTATTGGTTTTCATTTTG